AAATTGTACTAAATTTTGTTAGAGGAAGGATAGTTGGTCAAGCAGATGGTGGAATAAGTCAGCGACAAATTTTGCAGAATTTGTGAATCCCGCTTTCGACAGCCAAAAGAATCATCGTGCAGTTCAGGAAACAACTGAGCAGCGTCCAGGTCCATCGGAGAGGACAAAAAGGACCGTCAAGAGGAGCATCAAAATGGATCCCAGATTAAAGACTGCAGAAGTGGCCAAAGTTGGTGGGATGAGCCCGAAATCTGTTCAACGGTTTCTCCACAGATTGGGTTATCATTGCAGAGCAGCTAGACGGAAGCCCTTATTAAGACCTGCCAACATAGTCAGACAAAAGAAGTGGGCAAGTGATATGGTGACCAAACCTCTGGACTTTTGGAAGACTGTATTGTTCTCAGACGAATCAAGATTCGCTCAGTTTACGACAGCGGAAGTCATGCGATGCCAGGAGCATGCACGCTGGAGTTTCTAGAAGGATCGTGACTTATCGGGCAATCTCACGAATATCCCAGTATTTGCTAGATGCCTTCTTTTTTTAGTATATAAGGGCAGATAGATTGAAGATAGAAATAATCGAGTGAAGCGACCAGTGGGCACGTTGAGTAAAGTGTGTGAATTGCTGTAAATTATAGCATGTGTTTATAAAAGTAGTTAAGTTTAAAGTGACTGTGGAAATTAAGTGTATTACAAAGTTTGTAACGTGAAAGAATAAACTGGTTTTAATCAAGAAGGGACTTTTATCGCTGAAGTAACTCGGAAAGAATTTATACCGGAAATTAACAAACAAGTAGATACATAACATTCGTATCTATGTGTGCCGATGTTTCCATTTATTGACGTTATATTTTAAGATCTGTGCAAGAACTCAGCTAACAGATGTTTCTGCATATAAAAACTATATTTATTTTCAGCAAATAAAGTATTTTAACTCAAATTTCAGCATCTTGTGTTCTCTTTTTTGATTTCGTCCACTTCTGACAAGTCACTACATTATTTCTTCCATATACTAGATTCTTGAATCTATAGTTTTTGTAGAGCTCAGGTAACTGTGAGACTGTTTTAATTTTTGGGTCAGCAAAATTTCTAGGGATGATAGAAAAATTACTTGTACCATCACAGCAATTAGCCTAAGTTGCTATGCTATCCACATTAGTTATGATATCCTGGGGGTTATAAAATTCATTATATCAGATAAGCACAAAAAATGTCAGAGTAAATCTTGCATAATGATATTCATTTTTCCAAGTTTTATACTGTGTGTGTCAATTACTCAAACAGTGTCAGGGTACCACTCCCTTATTTTGTTTAAGGAAGATTTATAGACCTAACAGATCTGCAAATATTACTTGACACTACAACACAACATAAATTTGTGTTGACTAATACAGTGTTCCCAATCTTTTTCACTTGAAGGACTAATATAATTTTTGTAGAAGCTTATAGATCATTAGATGTCTAGGCTTTAAACTTTAATAATAATAATATTTATTCAGAAAGAATTATACATACTTTAAATTATCATTGTTATATGTACAATTATTTTGTGGGATGTTTTTGCAGACCAGCAAAAACATATCTGTTGACTGATGGTTGAGAACCTTTCAGCTTACGAAAAGAATTATTAAGGAAGTTTCAACAAGCAAATGTCTACCAATATTTGTTGGCAAACTTAACCTGGGTACTTGGAAAAACAAGGATTTCAAAGACCTTTTCTGCTTCCTAATAGGTCAGAATTCTCAGCGATCCTCAGCAGTTAAAACCAAACATCATTATTCTAAAATCTAACTTAAATAAGAAGTGGTAAAGTAACCCACATTTAACTTATAATAACTGTAACTTAAATATACGCTGCATTCAACAATTGCATTCAAATAACTTAAACCGTCATTTGAATGCTTCCGGCAGGAGGTGGGAAGATCGTGCGCCATGAGCAAGTTGCACATTATCTTGGACAAAGAAGCAAAAGAACACGAGTACTAATTAAGAAGAATGACGTATACTGGGGCTAAATTCTATGGCCTAAATCTATGTTACTGGTGTTGTGTAAGACGACCTGCGGGATGGGGTGTCTCACCCTAAGACGCTGATCATAAACCAATCACATATTATTAGAAATTAGTGACTTTAATTTGTTTCTTTTGTCCCTCAGTGGATCAGCGATAAGTTTACAAACTTACAACACCAAAATCTGTAATTTGATTACCCGCCGTGGATAAAGCAGATAGCCCAATGCAGCTTTGCTTTAAAACAAACCTGTTTATTTTAATGTATATTAAACTATCTATAATTTTTATTCCTTATTTG